TGAATACACTCTGGCTGTTTGTGGCTCCCGTCTTTCTGTAAATTTTGTAAAGATCGGAAAGCTATCAAAAGATAAATAAGCGCCCAAAAGAGAAACGATCATTGCACCTATAATGGAAGCATTGTTTGTTGAATATCTTTTAATAATAATAATAATAATGTTGTATTTATATAGCGCATATTGCACATTGCCCCTATGCGCTTTACAGAGAAATAATATAGGCCAACTGAGAAAAAGCAAATAACAATAAAATAGTAACAATAAAATAAAATAAAAATAATCATAATAACAATAACAATGAGAGTAAACTACTCCTATTCCTTAAACTAATTAATGGTTGGCCGTTGACTCCGAGGAGCTCATCCGCCCTTTGTTCAGCTATTGGTTTTTCTTGCTGCTGGGTGACCATAAACACCCTCCCCTCAGCAGCGACTAAGACATTTGAGAGGGTTGTCAGTTTAGTCGCCGACGCTTCGACCGGAAGGAGTTTAATGTCGTACCCAGGACCTTTTAGCTTTAGAACTATGGTAGATTACATGTGCACATTGCAATATGGATGAGTTCCTAGGAGCTTCTGATTAAGAATGTAGAAAAGAACATGGAACGAATTCACTCATCTGTGACTGACTTTGCATGCGTTTTATTCTATTGCATATCATCAGTTTAGATTATCGATGACGTGTCGCAATGTGGTTTTGGCGGCTAGTACGAACTATTGACAACTATCTACAGTTAGCGTGGGGGGGTTAAGGGGTTACGACAAACTGCCCAAAAAACTGGAGAAGGTCCGCATTTAAAAACGAAAAAATTTATATTCGTAGATGTTCTGCAGAGTATCAGAGATCATACTAGCCAAAGGGTCCACTTTCCACTGAAACAAACCTCCCACAAATTAAGTTAATCTAAGGGAAATGTTTTATAACATTCTCATTGACATCTACTGTACATTATCAATGAATTAATTATAATAAATCATTAGCGGAGATTGTTTAAGTGGTCATTGAGTGTTAGAACGTGTCACATTTGTGATTGGGTTCAATAGTAAAGAGAAAATGTGATGAGCTACCGGATCTGACAACACTAGACCACAACAAAATATATACCTGTATACAAGAAATTACATTTATAAAGAAATTTAATTGCCTTTCTCAAATGTGGCACCCAGCAAGGGAAGTATATTACTTCCCTGCTTTAACATAATAAACATGACAATTAATACGGATGACAATAAATAACAAAAAAAAGTGATTATTAATAATTAAAAGATATGAAGTTTCATCAACCGAATGTAGCGCTCTGAACTGGTTTCTGCTACGGTTTCATACGGGCGTTACAACTTGTTATCAAACTCTGGCCTTCGGAACAGGATCGATCTTCAATTCCACTTGGTACCAGTATCAACATAAATTGACGGTAGAACGTTTAGTTCCACTCAACACTAGAAACCTACAAATTCAACAAGACGTAACCAATTATCTGTGCACCGCACAAATAACACTAACATCGTGCTAATGCATGCAGATAAAATCTCATGTTTAACATATAAATGGCTTTATCCTTTCTTTTTATTATGAAAATTCTCGCACCTGACTAATCCCGCTAGTCTGAACGCCTGCCAAAGTTAAGCCGGGCTTAAATCAAGTCTGGCTTATCTCCAAGTCTGAACGTAGCCTAATAGATTTCATCAACACGTGACAGAACAGATGACTGAATATTATTGAAATAATCATTATAATAATATAAATTTTTAGATTTTGAAAATATGATTTAAATTTGTTAAAATATAAGGAGATTTTAGAAACAGTAACATACCCACAGTATGTTCTAGGTTAAAACCAAGTAAAAAAAAATTGCCTGCCTTTCTTTTTCCACTGTAACTAACAACAGACAAAAAAAAATATTTTTTTTTTTTTTTTTTTTTTTTTTTAATGAGATTTTTGAATGAGATCCTTTTTACCAGTAACCTAACATTAATGAATGGAATATTAAACATTCCACACATGACAATGCAATTATTTCTTGTGCTTTACTTTACAGATTCTGGGTAACTCACAGTTGTTCATCATGGTGACTTTGGTGTACATTGGTTGCTTCTGTATCATATTTTGTGAATCTGCTTTCTCATGGGATAAAGACTGCCCTGACTTAGATGTTCAACAATATGATCATCAATGGCACACTCCTATTGGTAATGTATTTTGTTTTATTAGTCTTAGTTATCTATTTTTTCACAGATACCACATATTCTCGTGTATAATTGTTATTCTTGTATAAGACAACCCTTAGGTTTGAGAAGAGTTTTGGAGGAGTCTTGTATATTGAGCATATAAAACAAAAAGTGA